TCACCTTCATCGTGCTTGCATTGAGCTGGATCTTTCTCAGTGACTAGTCTTTGGTTTGGGGTTCGTGTGTGGAAACAGGATGTAAAACTAAAATTGGTTCAGCTTTGTTTTCACTGCCAATGTATTTTCTCCTGTATCCAGTGTTACTGGGAGGCCAGTATTCCTTTTAGTTCATTCACTGCACTTTCAGAGCCCTTTGAAGATTCTAGCTTTGCCTTCGTTCTGGCTGTCTGATTAACTGGTCTAAGATGAACTTCCTTTTTAATTCTATCCATCATCTCTAAGACAGCTTGCCTCTTTAGGTCTGTGACTTCCTCAGTTGTTTCTGGTTGAATTGCCTTTTCTTTTTTAGCACCACTGCCACTGGGATGGGATCGTTTCCGGATCATGGACATGAGGGATCGGACAGGATTGGGAGGTGGAGGAGGAAGAGGTAGTGGAGATGGAGGTGGAGGAGGTACTGAATTCTCAGACTGGTTCACTCATTTCTGGACCACATCAACAGAATGCTTTAAATTTCTGGCCTTCTCTTCAGAATTCTTGTATTTCAATTCCAGTTTCTTATCTTCTTCTAAAAGCTCCAGTTGCTGTTTGAGGTTATGTATCTCTTTGTGCAGTGCTTCACTTTCTAGTTGCTCCTCTAATTCTTTGACCTTTTGCTGATGCTGAATTCTCTCTTCTTCAAGTTGTTGGATGAGTTTTGCATTTTCATCTAAAGCTTTCAAAAGCTGCTAGTCAGGGACAGTGCTCTGTAGCGGAAGGTGGCTTTGTCTCTTTAGCTTGTTTTGTTCTATGAACATCTCTTGTGCAAATGACTCTGCTTTCTTTCGAATCCAGCTCCAAGTTTACTTGCATCTCCTCATATTCCTCTACTGCCAACATGGACACTCTGTTGCATTTTTCTAAGACTTTTCTCTGTTCAAGAACTTCGGCATATAAAACAGCCTTTTCTTGTTTAACTTTATTTTCTTCTTCAATTACTTCCACCAGTTTGTTCTCCAGATTTTCCAGCTCAATGACTAATATCTTCTTTCCCTCCTGAACAGATACATTTGATCTCGAAGTTCTTCGATCTGTTTCTGACATTGTACTGACATACAAGTCTCAGCAGCCCCATCTGTGTCTGTGGTAGCATCTTCATCATCAGTGTTTATCTCCTCCGTTATTACATCTAGTCCCAGCTTGGCCATGGATAATACACTGATTCTCTTCAGTGTTTTATTTTCTTTATTTAGCTTTGTTGCCAAAGCTTTGGCACTTTCTCGACAAGTCTTCTCTATTTCAAGATCGTTTTGCATGAAATTAACTTCCTCTATAACCATGTGAGAAATTGTCTGAAATTCTTCCAGTTTTTCAACAGCTTCATCTCGCTCTTGCCAAATTTTGTCACACTTCTCCTTTGTTTTCTGGTTCTCTGCTCTAAGGTCTTCATATTCGCCTCTAGCTTGCTCCTTCAGGCTGGTGAAGAGCTGCAGCTGCTTCTCCTCATCCGAGCTGTTCATTTTGGCGGGTGGAGCTGGGAATAAAAGGAAAAAAGGAAGCGGTGAGGGGAACACGGGGGAGGGGGAAGAAAAAGCAACATGCCGGTGGTGTGCGGCTGCACTACCCCCTGATTTTCTTAATATGCTTTCTTCTGTCCTTGTGCTCCCAGCTCTATCCGGAGATCAGCCCCAGCCACTGAGCTGCATTGCCACAGCAGCACCATCTACGTGGACACTAAAATTCTCAGAAAAAACAACAACAAAAAAATCTCTCTCTGGCCAGAGAAATCGGTGAAAGGGGTCATGCTCTAGTAAAATAATCTTTTACTTCTTTTTCTTTCTTTTTCTCTCATTGCATTCCCCCCAAAACAGCCCCAGTCACACAAGCAAAATTGTGCAGGAAATAAAGCCCTAAGAGAACTCTAGATCCTGGTCAGAAGACTTAGAAAAGGCAAGGCCCTTGGGGACCAGGAGAATATAGGGAAATGCCAGGAAGGAGAGGGATGAAAAAGGATATCTTCTTAATTCTGCATAGGGCTCTACATAAGTCCCAAACTCAATTCTCAATTGTATAACTGCAAAACAGGCACAAAGTACAGTAGCAAGATCTGCAAGAACTAAACTAGAAACCCCCGGACTGAACTCTGAGTGGTACATGAGACATATAGCATAGCAAAGCCTCAAAAACTAAAGTGACATTGAAATTCCCACACATGGAAGATGAGACACAACGTGTAGTCTGGACCTAAGCCAGTTCATTGTCTGCTAATACAAACAAAATACCAACATTCACAAGAGGATTTTAAGAGATACACAGAATCTTGCATCACAAGATTCAAAATATTCTGGATACAATCCAAAATTACTCAGTGCATAAACAACCAGGAAAATCTCACCAATACTCAGGAGAAAAAAAATCGAAAGATGCCAACCCTGATATGACCCAAGATGGAGCAACCAACACCCATTATAAAGAGGAACATTCTTGAACTAAAAGAAGGATTAAAGTGCTCAGCAGAGAAAGAGAAATACATATAGACATACAAAAATTTTGAAACTAAAAGATATAATATCTCAAATTAATATTTGCTGGATGAGCCCTATAGTAGAACAGAGATAACAGAGGAAAGAGTCTGTGAACTTGAAGATAAATTGATATAAACTATACAATAAAAAGAACAGAAAGGAAAAGACTGGAAAAAATTAACACACTCTTGGAAGCCTGTTGCTATAAACATTCATGTTTTTGGAATTTCAGAAAAAGAAGAAAAAGAAGTTGACTGAGAAACTATATTTGAAAGAAGCAATGGAAGAAAATTTTTTAATATGCTGAAAGACATAAAATGACAAATTCAAGAAGTTCTATGCACCTCAAATAGGTTAAACTCAAAGAAAACACCCAAACACATTGTAATCAAACTGTTGTAAGTCAAAGGTGAAGAAAGAATCTTAGGCCAAATATGTGCCACACACCTGTAATCCCAGCTAGTGGGGAGGCTGAAGCAGAAGGATCACAAGGTTGAGGTGATCCTAGCAAGACCCTCTCTCAAAATAAAATAAGAAAAGGGGCCGGGGATTTAGCTCAGTGGTTCTGCTGGCTGCCTCAGCAAGCAAAAGGTCCTGAGTTCAATCCCTGGTACCAAAAATTAATTAATTAATTAATTAATTAAGAAATGACTGAGAATGTAGCACAGCACTCCCTGAGTTCAATCTCCAATACCACGCACACACACACAGGTGCGCGCGCACACACACACACACACACACACACACACACACACATGCATGCCTACGCATCTTAAAAGTACCAAGAAGAAAAAATGGTAAATTATACACAAGGGTAACTATGACCACAGGTTTCTCATCAGAAACTATGGACCCAGAAGACAGTCTTTAAAGTAATAGAAAAAAATCAGTAAAGTAAAAATATCTTCAAGTATTTCAGGCAAAATAAAGTTGTTCTCAGATGAAAGAAATTATCACCAATAGATTTGATCTAAACATTTTTCAGGTTGAGGAGAAATTACACCAGAGGGAGACATGAAACTTTAGGAATACAGAAGCAAAGACAAAGATCTGAGCAAATGCTTTTTTCATTTTAAGTTCTTTAAAATACGGCTTAAATTCCTTAAAATGACTATTGAAAGTAAAAATGATAATGATTCAATGTATATGGATATAATATAGGAAAAACTAGATCATAAAGGGAAAAGAATAAAAGAACCTATATGCTATAAGTCTTCTATAGTTTACTTGAAACACTAAAATATTAACTCTACATATACTGTGAAAAGTTTGGTGCATACATTATAATTTCTAGAGTAATCACTAAAAAAAAAAAACACAAAAAAATAGCAAAAAAGCCAATAAATAAAATAAAGTACTATACAAATTCAAATAGTTCAAAAGTGGTTAGGAAAGAAAATAAAATAGAGGCAGCAAATAAAAAACAAATAAAATAACTACCTTAAATCCAACCATAACAACAATTTTACCAAATACAAAGTTTCAAATACCAATCAAAAGACAAAAATTTTCAGATTTAATTTTTAGAAAGGCCTAATCACATACAGTCTTAAATAACACATATTAAATTTAGTAATATAAACAGATTTCAAGTAAGATGATGAAAATGGTAACACCATACAAACACCAATCGAAAGATTGAGTGCCAATATTACTTTTAAGTAAAGTAGACTTTAAAACAGGGAAAATTGTCAGAGATAAAGGACATTACATAGTGATGAAAGGATATATTCACCAAGAAGACATAATCCTAAATGTGTATAAATCTAACAATGGAGCCCCAAAATAACATAAAGCAAAAGCTGTTAGAGGACTAAAAAGAAAATAGACAAATCCACAATTATACTTAAAGATGTCATACAACCATTTGTGCTAAAAATCCTGGCCATAGCTTCTCTCAAGAGGTGTTTTGTAGATTGGTCCTCCCTATGCCTTTGGTTCTCTAAAGAAGCAACCATCCCAGAGAACTTAGAGAGAATGTAGCACCATGTCAGTGCTGTGACCTAATGGGAATCATGAGCATGGCCAGGTATTAGCTACTTGTGGAAATTTTAGAGAAAATCAATAGTAAATTTCCAGCAATATCTCTCCTTCTCACTGAGAAGCCTGAGAAAGTTCAACCATAGCTGTAAGAGTTTGTTGTGCACTGGTGTTAATTTGTGTTTGTCACCCATTCTCCCACTTCTGGTAAAGCATGTCATGCTTTAGGGAAAGTATCTCTAAATAATACTGTCTTGAACCACACAACGAACCTTAAGTAAGTAAATATATTCTATTCTCCGGACTCCAGTGATTGGCCAGACAAACACACAACTGGACTAGAGACAGTGACATATAAGGCCATAATTACTGGGGCTTTTGGGAAACATAAGACAGCTATAGTATTTCTATCCAGTTTGGTTGGGTTTTCTGTTATTCAGAACAGAGTCCTAACTAATACAAAGTTCATCCCTCCCTATACCTCATACCTTTCTCCAGAAATAAAAACAAAAGTCATGTGCAGTAAGTTCTTTTATTTTTAATGCTAGACATTATATTTACTTGCAGAACATAATGACATGAATGCACTTTAAAAGACAAAGCTTTATATGTAGGAATAATCACATAATGAATACCAATACACATATAAAAGGGAATCATCTAGTACTGAAAACTATAAGCAAAAAAATTTTCCTATATTCATTTAGCATGTTATTAATTTTGCTCTTTCTAAAATCTTTGAAAAACTTCACTCATGCCATCATCTCCTGAGAAAAATGTTTACCACCGTCAACCACTTGTAATTCTTAAAGAAGAAGAATAAATTCAGGAGGCCCAAATCTTCCCTAAACTTGTCAGTATCAATGGAAAGAATGGCTTCCAAATTCCTCCATAGGTTTTGTGTTTCAAGCTCAAGCGACCACTTTGAGGGAGAATTCTTTAAGTGTTCTGGAAAGCACAGTTATCCCTATCTTCAGTGTAAAAGATTCAAGCTGTCCATGTGAACAAGGATGGGATGCTTAACACCGGAAAATTACTAAAATGAAAGTGTTTTTATAAATAAAAACGGATTATGTGGAGAGATTGGAATGGAATTAATTCTGGGTAGATATGGAGTTTAAGAAATTGCTCTTCATGAGGCATTTGTTAAGGATCTGTGAAGGATTCAGAGGTGAAGGAAGCAGAGTCCTTACCACAGAATTGCCCCTCCTCTCAGGGCAGATGTCTCCACACCTAGGATTCTCAGCTATGGCTAAACATACAAGGTACTGAACGTACAGATGTCCCTCTAGAGTCTCATGTGCTCACAGGCGGGACTTTTGGAAGGTGACTGGATTAAGGGCACTTGTAGCTAACTTGCTGTTAGGAGGCGGAGTCTGTTCAGAAGAGGTAGGTCATTGGGGATGTGGTCTCCAAGGGTTCATCTCCCTCCCAGTTCCTCCCTTCACTCTCTGCTTCCTGTCTGCCATGCCAGGTGAGCAGCTACTCCTCTGCCCTGCCCATGTGCCATGCCATCTTGCCTTGGAGCCAGCGGACTATGCAGTAAACCATGAGCCAAGACAAACCTCTCTTCCTTTAAGTTGGGAGTGTTGGGTATTGTGTCTCAGGAACAAGAAAGTGACTAACACAGGAGCACATCATGGAAGCTCCTAGCCAGGAGGCCTTGAGGAACACAGAGGAATTCAACATGGGGAAGTGCAAGCCATTTTCCCTTCTAGTGGGAAGAGTGTGAAGGCAGATACAGGAAAGAGAAATCACAGAACAGGGCAGGGGCTGTTGAGTAGTCTAGCTGGGGTTCGAGTCATCACAGTGCCACCTTCTCTGAGGGTGCTGTGCCAGGGAAAACTTTTAACTTGATGAAGGCAAATTCAGAGGCCCTCGGGTGAGGTGGCACAGTTAATGGGAAGAGTCCCTGACTCTAGGTTTGATGTTTAGCACTGCCATTTAATACCTGTGTGCGACCTAAAACATTCACTTAACTATCTCAACCCAAACTATAAAAAAGAGAAGTGTATCTTCCCTTGGTGCCTCACAGGACTGACGTGAATGAAGAGACAATGGGCACAAAATAGCATTGTCAGCTACTTCCTTGTAGTTGTTACCATATCATGTATATGAAGTCCACCAGTAAATGTTATTACTGTCCAATGTTGCTGCTACATAAGAGATCCTGAAAGGACCAGGTCTTCTTCAGGACTGGGAATATAGTATGTGATTTTTAGAAAAAGGCACTTAATGAATGAATGGATAACGTTCAGAACTCTTAAACTAGACAGTAAAATCAGTCTCATAACTATGCTGAAAGCTCACTGACTGCGCTTTAATTGACTTCTGGGCCACGTGCCCTGATGGAAGCTCTGAGTTAGGAGAGATCAATGTCATGGTACAGAAGGAAGCCTGTGAAGGTAGAATCATTGACATTATCTGCATAGAGTCCAGTGTGGTTTCCATCCCCATACACCTGAAGCCAGACTTGGTCACCCACAGCCAGAGGGAGGAGTACAGAGCCAGAGGCCTGGTCCACATTCTTCTCCTGGTACTGGTCATATGTGAAGAGCTCAGCCTTGTCCTTCCTGAAGAGGCTGACCTTCATGTCCTTCAGATAGACAGTGATGTGGTAGGAGAAGTAGTACAGCCCAGGAATGTTGCAGTGGAATTTCCCTGTGGTGCCATCATAGTGGTTCTGCTGATTGTAGAAGATCTTGGTAAAGCGAATGGGAACATTGGGGACGGCGACATGGGCTTGCAGCCCCACGCTGAATGCTGAGCGGTATACATAGGCACTCTCTCCACGTTCTCCTTTCCTGCCTGGGATTCCTGGAAAACCTCGGGGACCTTCAACCCCAGTTACTCCAGTATCACCAGTGTCACCTTTAGGACCAACAAGACCTAGAGAATAAGAAGACTTCAGTGACCACAAGGAATAGGACATCTGCTTTGGTTGGTTCCTGAAACTACTGTCTCTGGGACCTCCAACCACAGCCTGCTTGACAGAGCAAGGAGAGATGTCATCTCCTCTCTCCACATTTCTTAAGGACCAGCAGCTTCCCACAAATTCATCTCCAACCCATAGAAAGGTTCTTGAGACCACTGTTAGACAAAAGGAAGGGAATAAAGGGGAGGGAGTAGACACTTAAAGGAGAGTAGTAGGGGATGAATATGGCCAATATATGTTATGTGCATGTGTGAAAATGCCACACCACTCTGAAATCCAATGTTTTATAAAATTAATATACACTAAAACAATCTCTTTAAAGGGGCTTGTGATGATTGAATGAATAAATGATTGAGCAAATGGATGAATAATGTTCAGAATCCTCAAACTAGCTAATAAAATCATTGTCAACTCTACTGAAAGCTCGTTGACTATTCTTTGACTTTCAGGCTGCTTGGACCGGTAGAGGCTCTTAGTCATTGATCAGTCAGTGTTCTGAACATCATTCAGCCATTTACTCATTCATTTACTCATTAATTCATTTGTTGAGTGTCTCTCTGTATTTCCCACAGCCCATCAAGTTCCCATAAATTCATCTCCAACCCACAAGTCTCCAGTATAAACCCTCCACCCTGCCAGCCCTTTGTGTGCTGGCTCTGCCAACCACATTTGCTTTTTCCTCTGTTCCACCTACACATCCCTCAAGGCCTGGCTCAAGCACTACCTCCTGAATGACACTGCATTGTTAACCCAGATCTGCACTGAGTGCATTCTCTCTGTGTCCCACACTTTGGGTATTTGGGTTTGTTTGGTTGGTTGGTTGGTTTTGTTACTGCTTTTGTGTTTTTGTTTCATGTGTGATTTGGGGAATTTGTTCACATGTATTTTGGCATACTTGGAGTAGACTTCCTTGTAGTGATTACCAAGAGTCTGAAGGCCCTTGGTTGGAACCAAGGGCCTACAAAAGGTGGGGAGACCCTCAAGGGCATGCAGTAAATGAATGCCACTGGATGAAACAGGGATTGAGAGGGAAAGAAGAAGAATAGGAGTGGGAACATATTGGGCTTAGGGGTGGGGAGGTGATTGGGAAGGGGATATGGGGAAGGAGAAGCAGATGGAGTAGAGTCCAAGGGTAATCTTTCTCCTGGAAGATCAACCCCAAGCCCACTCTAGTTTGCTTATGTGTTACATGAAAAAGCTTTGCTTTTTCCCTACACCTAAGCCTTAGAGGCCTCCTCTACCCAGGAAAGGGTGTGATGAAGGAATACAAAAGCTTGATCTTACCTGCATCTCCCTTCTCGCCCTTTTCGCCAGGGGTGCCATCTCTTCCATCACGGCCTGGGATCCCATTGTGGCCAGGATGCCCTGGGATGCCTGCCAGCCAACCTGTACAGGCCCCCTTGGGTAGTGGAAGCAGGGCTCCAGGCCCTGCAGTTGTGGTTTCCTCAGCATGGCTGGGCAGGGCTAACAGCAGTAGAACAGTTTGCAGCACCAGCATCCTGAGCCCTGGAATGCATGTGTGCACTGTCACCCCTGGAGAGGCACAGCCCACATTGCACACCCAGTCGGGACCTGCCCAGACTCCATCCATCCCAACATGGTCCACTCCAAAAGCTGCTCACAATACTCACCTCTTCCAGGAAGACTTCTGATTATTCAGCCTGCCTGGGTCTCTTTCTGTCTTGAAATTTGCAATGCTTAGGATGATTCCCTTTCCTCACAATTGTGAGTTTAGCGATGGCACGATGACCCTCCTCTACCCGGGCCTGGGCTCAGGCCCAGGCTCAGGAAAAGCTCCCTGTATCAGTTTACAGAGAATCCACCCTTGAGTTTCTCAGCACTCAGATCTCTCCATTCAACTCTAACCAATCTCCCTCTTCTTGGCTGCATTATTCTTCTCTCACAACTTTTCTTTCATTTTTTATGTCTGTTCCTCCTCCTTTCTCTCTCATTCTCTTTCTTCGTTTTTGCCTCTTCTTGTTCAAACTTTTTACCATTTGGTACATTTTACACAGAAGTGCACACATGCACAACTCAAGCCTTGCCTTGAGTTAAACGGGCAACCAAAGATACGTTGCCCCATACGAATATCCACTGACCCTTTGCCTGGCCACCTTCAGCTGCCCCTCTTCACCTTCCTAACCCTCATTTAGACTTCAGGACCCTTTGGATGTCACCTCCTTCAGGAAGTCCTATCCTCCCTCTGCCATCAGGGTTGGTTGTTCCTCCTTCGTTTTCCCAGTTCTTTGACTTACCTCTATTATTTCCCCTTACACTCAACTGTAACGCTTACAATGCTCACCTATTTCCCCACTGGACAGCAAGCACCAGAGGCCAAGCCCAGCATGCTACTAGCACAAAACAGGCACTACATAAGTATGTCTGCAATGAAAAAGGAACAAGCCAAATAGAAACAAGAAGAAGGCAGGGGACCGAGGTTCTGAGTCACGCAGAAGACACCGAATCACCCCGCTGCAGACAGGCAGGTCTGCTCACACACTGTCGAGGTCCCCAGTCGTGCGGAACACACACCGAATCAGCCCGCTGCTGACAGGCAGGTCTGTGCATGCCCTACCGAGGTCCTGAGTCATGCAGAAGATGCCAAATCACCCCACTGCAGACAGGCAGCCACCTGATTCCACATTACCAAGGCGCAGAGGACACCAGACC